AAACCGGTACAATCTTGTTATTAATCGAGACGATGCACGATTGTACGAAGGCATCATTCGTTTTTTATAAGGAGAGCACTAAGTGACAGGTCGTCCCTTAGTCGAATTTCTCAATTCTCATATTTATTCTCAGCATGATGCGGTTCTCATGAAGGCCATAGTTTATTCTCGTAGTGAGAAACCGGTACAGAAAATCAGATCAAGTGCAACTGGTGGAAAAACGGTAGGCAGCAGTTTATTACTGAGTACTGCTGACCGCTACCGATACCAGATGATCCTGCACATGCGGCGACTCGATCAAAGGCGCGCGGTTCTTGGCAAAAATTTCGATCAAATTCGATTACTGAGTTATTGTTGTGAGTTGAGCTGGCTAATATATGTCCGCAAAGATGTGAAAACATCTAAAAAAACACTTAAAGGACATACACTTTGCTGACTAGCAACCATTCTTTACTACCTTCATATTGTTCAACCATCAGTTTAGTCTTCATCTTCGGGGTCGAGAGGCTGATGAGGCTGGGCTCTGGCTCTGCCACCACCGCTCCCTCCTCTTACCAGCGGCCGCGCCGTTGCGTGCGGTGCGCCGCCATAAAAAAAAAAAATTGCTTTTTAATTTTTTTTTTTTTTTTTTTACAGCGGAGGTGTTAAGGACGGGTTTTCCCGGTATCGTGTCCATCTGCAAAGAAATGTCGACACAACACTCTGGTTGCCGCCGCCGCTCATAGATGGCGGTAGCTGTCCAGAGTGCTGTGTTTGCCGGTTGTCTGATTGCGCCGTCGCTCATAGATGGCGGCAACCTTTCCAGCCTTTCCACTCTGGCTTGCCGACTTGCGGCCGGCCGTTACTTTATTCTCACCATAGTACAGCTTCGCTGGTCTTCCTTCTTTACAAGAGTGGAAAGGCTGAAAGAATATTGTGAATTACGCCGCACGAGAGCCAATGGGAGCCTTATTCCTTGACGACGCGCGCCAGCCAATGGGAGCATAATTCGTCGGAAATCGGCTTCGCTTAAGAAAGGGAATAGAAGATGTCATTTGGCCAACGTTTGCGTGGTTTCAAATCTGATGACGACGGTTCGCTCCATGGGACAGTTAATGCTTTCGGATTAATTGTGAATAATGGTTGATAGTCAGCTATGTGCATGTCCTGTCTCTGTGTAAGTGTCTTTTTTTCCCTTCAAGCTGTTTTCCCCACCTTCCATTACTGCGCCATCTACTTACGTCCTGGATCAGTGGATTGAATCGATGCAGGCAATGAGCACACCCCTCCACCCTACTA